AGTCTTTAACTTACGCTGACTTCCTTTTACAGAGGTCAGGGAGCTCGTGCGATCGGCTGGCAGGGTACACAGACAGCGGGTCAGGACGACCACAGTGGGACAAAGAAAGGTGTTCACCTGCCCCCCAACCCACTCCCCACCCCCAGACCTTCCCTTTCTCACCGCCCGCATCTGGCTTTCCTAGGTTAGCCTCCTTGCCAGGATCTCCCATCTACTCCCCCTTAGTGGAAGTAGTCAATGAGAACATCAGAATGGCCCATCAGTAAAATCCTTCCAGAGTCAACAAACATTTGAAAACAGCTTAGGATCTAGACAGCAAGAATTCTGGATACAGGCGAGAATGGTTCAGCAGGTAAACATAGTGACCCGAGTTTAGTCCCTGGATCCCAAGACAGAGATAGAGCCAACTCCCTCAAGTCCCCTGGCCTCCACCTATGCACCCATGCGCGCGCTCTCTCGCTCTCTCTCTCTCTCTCTCTCTCTCTCTCTCTCTCTCTCTCTCTCACACACACACACACACACACACACACACTGTGCGAGATGACCTAGGACAACACTCACGGAAAGTGGAAGATGCCCTCGAAGAAAGCACAGGCTGAGCAGGCAGGGCATCTGTTGGACGAACTGACACCAACATGCGTCCTTCCACATCTCCGGAATGCTGAGGTCTTGCAGAGGCTTCTGAGTCCTTCCCCTTGAACCATTCTGAACATAGGAGGATCTACCACGATTTTGTATCCTCCTGTGTGTACATGTGCAAATAAGGTGAGATGCTTCCTCAAGGAGGCCGGTGACGAGAGCGGATGCACTGCCAGGGTGATAGGCTGGCTGCGGAAATGAGTGCTCTCTACTTGGCTCTGGGAGTCTGTCGCACATAGAGGAAGGGGTTCTTAGTAGGGATACAAACGCAACACAACTGCAAGCTGCAAACCGCCAGCTGCAAGGCTCCATTCAGGCCAGGCTGAGATACTGAGAGAGGGTCTCGCTGTGTTTGTAGCTCCAGCTGGTCTCTAACTCACAGAGATCCACCAAAGCAGCACCTCTCTCTCTCTCTCTCTCTCTCTCTCTCTCTCTCTCTCTCTCTCTCTCGTGCACGATACTGTGATTTATTTGGGAGAAAAACTTTTTATACAATATATTGTGAACAGTTTCCCCTCCCCCAAGTCCTTCCGGAACCTTCTCCCCAAATTCGATGCCCTTCTTTCTCTTTCTTTATAAGACCAACAGGCAAACAAACAAATAAAAACCCAGAACAAACAAAAAGCCTGAAACACATACACACATGGAAATATACACAGAGGCAAACACACATAAACACCCCAAACCAAACCCACAAAAAAAACAAAAACCGGGAACCATAATATACAAGCAAAAGACGAATAAAAAAAATTAAGAAGCAGTATAGGACATACGGTCTAAAAAAATGCCAGTGAGTTTATTCTGTGTTGACCATCTAACGCTGGGCATCAGGTATAAGGGTGGTTAGTATACCCAGTGAGACTCCACTGGAGAAAACAAGCCCGTATCAGTTGGAGAGTGTCTTGGTTAGGGAGGCAAGTTCATGTTCATTTCCTCCCTCATCTCTGGGACCCTGTCTGGCTTGAATTGTGCAAGGCAAAGCAGCACTTCCTTCCCTGCCAGCGCCCACCCCAGGCTGGGTTTCTGTTTTACAGTCCCAGCTCCAGGATGGCCTTGAACTCACAGGACCACCTGCCACGGCCCCCCAAGCACTGAGATTAAGGCCTGTGCCACCACTGTCCAGCACGCAGTACTTCCTAACCAAAATCCAGTCTGGATTCTGCTTTTTCTAATAATGCTGTGTTGGGGACTTTTTTTTTTTTTTAGTTTCCTGAGACAAGGTTTCTCTGTGTAGCTTTGGTACCTGTCCTGGAACTAACTCTTGTAGACCAGGCTGGCCTCAAACTCAGCCTCCCAAATGCTGGGATTAAAGTGCCACCACTGCCCGGTGAATTTTTCTTTTTTTTAAAGATTGCATTTAGATTTTGTCCTATTATCTTTTCCCCCCAGGTAGTATCGTTCTTCAGACGTGACAGTTAATCTTCACTGCCACCTTAGCTGATTTAGAATCCCCTAGGGACACACCTTTGGACTTGGCCTATAAGGCTGTTTCCAGATCAGGTTCCTGTGCGGGAAGACTGATTCTGAAGGAGGGTGGCAGGCACCCTGGACAGCCTGAGACTCCACACAGAAGGCAAAGGCGGAAAGCAGGGGGGCACTGGATCCCGGTTCTCTACTTCCTGCTCAGTGCCATGGATCCAGCAGCTCCCACCATGCCTTCCCCTCCATGTTGCTCAGACTGTCTCCCTTAAGCCCCTAACCAAAGGAAATCCTTTTTCCCAGTGATAAAATTAACTAATACACCAGACAACTGAAGAAAAACAAGGAACACTGCCTTCTTCCTGAGCCTCCAGGACACGTCTTCTCAGATTTCAAGGAAGCCACTCTCCTCAGTTTGGGAATCTATCAGCGCATGATCATGAACAGATGGGAATATCTTTTCATTTCCCACATAAATGACAGGGTTATGCTCGCGGTGCTGAGTGGCGGTCGCCAGGCTTCGTAAATACTAAGCACATGCTCTACCGCTGAGCTGCATCCCAACCCATAAGTGATTTTAATTAATTGCTTTTGGAGAAGGATGAACGATACACAAAGCAAGCTGGGTGGTGGGGATGTCCCACAACTCCCATGCCAACCTTCAACCTCTGAGCATCTGCACAGATGCATGGCTCCCCTTCCTCTTCACAGTACTCTGCACTCAGGCTGAGATGTGGTTAACAGGACATGCTGTTCTTACCAGAGCTGGGTTCTTAGCACCCACTTCAGGCAGCTCACAACTGCCTGTGACTGCACCTCCATGGGCACCTATACTCACTCACACACATACCCACAGAGCAACACACATATGCACATAATTAAAAACAGTAAAAAGCGAGGCGTGCTAGTACCTGCCTTTAATTCCAGCACTTGGGAAGCAAAGGCAGGCGGATCTCTGAGATTGAGGCAAGTTTTGGGCAGGTCAGAATAAAGTGATGAGGCTACTTCAAAAGCCAGTAAACAAAAACAAACGTTAATGCTGGGCAGTGATGGCCTTTAATCCCAGCACTCTAGAGACAGAGGCAGGCGGATCTCTGTGAGTTCGAGGCCAGCCTGGTCTACAAGAGCTAGTTCCAGGACAGGCTCCAACAGCAACACAACACTAGCAACTAGCAACACAGAGAAGCCCTGTCTTGAAAAACCAAAAAAGAAAAAAACCTTGGAAAGATTTACACTAAAATTACTAGTTTTTGTTTTAAAAACGTGTGTGTGTGTGTGTGTGTGTGTACGTGTGTGCTGGTACACGTATGCTATAGGAAACATGATTATCTGGAGGTCAGAGGACCTCAGTTCGTACTTTATGAGTCAGGGTCTCTTGTATTTTCCCATTGAGAACGACAAGCTAATTGGCTCATAGAGCATCGAAGGATGCTCCTGTATCCACCCATCTTCCTACAGAATACAGGGGCAGACACTCACTTAGCCTGGGTCCTGAGGACTTGAACTCAGGCCCTCAAGCTTGCACAGCAAATGCTAAACCCACCGAGCCATCTCTCCGGCCTCATCTGACTTTCTGCTGCTGGTGGGGGAAGCGGGGGCTGTGCTGGGGATATGCCCAGGTCCCTGTGCATCCTTCACATGGACTCCACACCCCATCTCCACTGCTTTGCAAACTGATGAATTTAGGATTAAACCTCCAAATTAGAAGACAATGCTTTTTGGAAAATGAAGAAATAAAAACAAAACAGTCCTTTTAAGTAGGGATTGGGATCAAATTAAACCAGAACCTCTGAGTAATAATACACTTATCCTTCAAGTGGGCAACTGTGACAAGTGTGCACGAGGGGATTAGAACACTGGGCAATAGGGCAGTGTTGGGGTACAAGATTTTAGTTTTATTTTTATTTAGCTCTATATTTCTCTATATTTTTCTCTGTGCCCCTCCCTACCTCTCCCCTCCCCTTCAACCCTCTCCCAAGGTTCCCATGCTCCCAATTTACTCAGAAGATCTTGTCTTTTTCTACTTCCCATGTAGATTAGACCTATGTATGGTCTCTCTTAGGGTCCTCATTGTTGTCTAGGTTCTCTGGGATTGTGGTTTGTGGGCTGGTTTTCTTTGCTTTATGTTTAAAAACCACCTATGAGTGCGTACATGTGATAATTGTCTGTGTCTGGGTTGCATCAGATTTTATTGAGACAGGCAAAACTATGAGCTCAAGGCCAGCCTGGTGTACACAACCTGGGTTACAAGGTGAGATCCTGCTTCAAAATATGAAACTAAATGAGAACATTATGCAGTAGATGGAGTGCTTAAAATCTTACCAGCAGGGACAGCAGCTCTGTCATAGCCAGGAGGCTGTGGGTGACCGACGAGACGGCTATAGAACAGCCTCTTGCAGGAATGGGGGAGGCGGCTGTGCTGGCAAATGCCTGTAACCCTGCGGGCCCAAGGCAGGAAGATGCTGTTGAGATTGAGGTTTGGGAGGGCCCAGTTCACTGTGGACAGGAGGTCCTGGGAGCCATGGAAGATAAACCAGCACGTAGCACTTTTCCATGGTCTCTGCTCCAGTTCCCTCCTGCAGGTCCCTGCCTTGAGTTCTTACCCTGACTTCCCTCAGTGGTGGACTGTGTTGTGGAACTATAAACTGAAATAAACACTTTCTTCCCCAAGCAGTTTTTTTGAGACAAGGTTTCTCTGTGTAAGACTGGCTGTCCTGGAACTCAAGAGATCTGACTGCCTCTGCCTCCCGAGAGTTGAGATTAAAGGCATGCATGCACCACGCCTGGCTTGGCTGTGGTATATTTTTTTTCCACAGCAATAAAACCATAATTAAGACACAAAGTTTTAATTTTTAGAATATATTCTGGATTATTGTATACAATTAGAAAATGCAGTCACAGTCAAGAACTTTAAACTCCAAAATTAAACGCTGATTACAGTAAAAGGTGCTACACAAGAGACATTTATTAATGTTCTATTGTATTTACAGTTTAATAGAGCAACCAAAGTGAGCTAGCACTTGGGCAGCAAGCACATCATTCTACAGTTATAACAGTTGTAAAAGCAAGGAATACAGAATGTTAGGGATCCTCTCAAAAGTTCCAAGCTAATTCTTGGTTCCTGACCCTCTGGGATTTTAGCCCATTTCCAGAATAACTTTTTGTGTATTTCATCTGAATCTGCCTTTGCCCTTTCCATTTTATACAACGAAAAATGCCTTTAGAATTCCTTTGTACACAGAACTACAGAATGAAAAGGTAATTTCTGAGTAGAGACTATGAAAAATTAATGCTTATGTACCAATTGAGAACATCTTTTTAACACTACAATGACTTTTGCACTATGGTTTTGCTTCCAGGTGTTCATACACAGTACAATTTAACATATTTCTAGATTAATTTGAACAGGAAATATGGATTATGTGCAGAAATGCAGTCATAACCAAAGTTTTGACTTTTGAGAAAACCCCCTTTCAAACAGCCAGCTTTATGCATAGCTTTACACTAATCTGTAATTTCAAATCTGCGTTGAGATGGAGAATGAATAAAGCAAGATTGCCCCCTACTGACTACAGGGGCATGGCTCATGCTATTTAAAATGACTACAAACAATATATAAGGCATTATTAATAATACATCACAGACTTGATTGCAAGAGCTTTTTCAAACATTAACCACTAATGATTCGATGATTACAGAATTCTGCATTAACTATTAACATTTTACACCTAGGAACAAATAGAGAGAAATGATCTTTTTCAACAGTACTTTTATTTTTTAAAGCAGGTGACTGTTTCTCCATTCTGGTGATGATTCACTTCCTGCAGGTGCACGCGCTTGTCAAGGGACTTCATCAGTGCAGGAAGGCCTTTGCCAGAAACCATCTGCCAAAGAAGGACATTGAATAGTCAATCTCTAGTTAGCCTGCTATTTTTACTAGAAGCAGGATGTAGTCACAGAAGACAAGATGTTTTGAGACATTTGTGGTATATTTCAACATAATTTGAAGATTACTATACATGGACATCATAGTAGCCAATAAACAGTCAACTTTCAGTTCTTAACATCAAGCGCCTCCCCCTCCCCCAACACACACTATAAATAACTGATACATTCTCTCTAAAGAGAGAATTTTATTTTATGTGTATGGGTGTTTTATCTGCATGTCCATCTGTGCACCACATGTGTGCAGTTGCTCTCGGAGGTCAGAAAAGGACACTGCAGTTAAAGATGGTTTTGACCACCATGTGCTGAGAATTGAACCCTGGTCCTCTGGAAGAGCAGCAAGTGCTCTTAACTGCTGAGCCAACTCTCCAGCCCCAGGATGTTTTCTCTTAAAAAAAAAAAAAATCAGGAGTTTCTCACTCTTTTCTCTTCTGTTCTAAAAAAGCACAAAATGGAAGCAGTGGTTCTTCATCCTACAGTTATTCTCCTTAGGATAGACTAGAACAGGACCATCTCCTAATCCACCTGTTGTTAGCATTCACTTGCTGATTCTGTCAGCTCTCACACTGTGAATTCCAGTGAGGATACCAATGATGTCACTCTCTCTGTAAACTGTGGCAAAGTTAAAAAATGAGCATAATAAACTCACCTGTCCTAGCCTACAAATATGCTGCAGAAAATTTCAAACCAATGTGTGCAGGAAGCCTGTTTTTCAGAATATATGCTGCTGCAGCCAGCACAGCCTGGATGGCTAAGACTGGTGGGGGGGTGCTGGGATTGACACATGGAGGCTTCTTTTCAGGTGGAAGAACAGCAACCTTTATTTTGCCCAGCAACCTTTTATACCTCTATTCCTTCTGTGGAGACCCACCAGCCAGAAAAAAACACAAACATCCTTGTCAATTACAGACCACGAGAAAGTTCCGCTGTCGGTCAGGGGGAGTGAGGGCAGCTGGATCACAACAATATGCAATTCCTAATCAACTTTTAAAAACTAACATGACAGGCATGTATACTTTCTTTTTTTAAATTTTTTAAAATGTATTTAACTTTATTTTATGTGCATTGGTGTGAGGGTGTCAAATCCCTTGGAACTAGAATTACAAGCAGTTGTGAGCTGTCATGTGGTTGCTGGGAATTGAACCCAGGTCATCTGGAAGAACAGGCAGTGCCCTTAGCCATTGAGCTATCTCTCCAGCACCTGAAATGTATACTTTCAAGATGATGTCTGTGTCTATGTGTGTCCCTGCCCTCCTCTCCTGGGCTGGGAACTGAACTCAGAGATGTGTCACTGATCACAGTCCCAGCCCTGTACAAATACACTGGTTTAGTTCTTGTGGAGGTAGTGTGGGGAAAAACGCTGAGTAACTCCTCATTGTAATGCCCAAAGAAAGAGCACTAGGGACACACATACCAATTACTTTAACAAGTATAAGAACTACTTTTTGGCACCCAATGCTGCATGACAACGGATGGGATTATCTATGATATGAGTCTTTAGTGTCCCCTTTCCCATCTCTCTAGAGTGTGGTTAAACACCACACAAAACCTTGCTGTTCCTTTTGTTTTGTTTCTCCTTAGACTATATAAGCTTAAAAGGCGCCAACATGCAAAGAAGATTCAAATAGTCAGGGAAACTGCCAACATCTGCCACAACTCCAGATTCATTCCTGTCTGGTAGATCACAGGTATGGATTGCCTTTCACACCAAGAAGACCAAGTTACAGACCACAACTCACCATCGACACCGGAGGACTCAGACTGGAAACGTGAGCACAAACAGAAAGGAACCTATGGCTCCTGCCTAGAGGCCATTCTACCGAGGCCTAACAAACTCAAGTCATTCCCCCTTCATCAGTTTTGATGAGCAGATGAAAAGCAAGAGTCAATGACCACCAAGTCCAACTGCAGGACACACTGGAATACAGGTAACTTTCCCACCAGTTAGTCCCTGCTGCTTTATAAACAGCTTTAACAGGACTCAGAGCCACGTAACATCCTGCTGGAGGATCCAGACTGAAGAAAGGAGCGAGAGCTGAACATCAGCATCATCCTCGCTTCTCAAATGCAGATGACATGTGACCAGTCGGCTCACGGCCACACTGCCATGCCTTCCCTACCCACTATCTTCTCAAACTGGGAGCCACAGTAAGCTCCTCCTTCAAGCTGCTTGTTGGGTGTTTTGACACAGCGGAACAGTAAAGCAGCCACTACAGTGGGTGGCGGCATGCTGTGATCACAGTGCTACTCAAGTTGAGGAAGGAGTTGTTTAAGGATGTCTGAGTCATCTATGTAGACAATGCCTTAAAAAACCAAAACCAAAAATACTGCTGGTTGTTGTTGGTGCACACCTTTAATTCAGCACTCGGGGGCAGAGGCAGGTTGATCTTCGTGGGTTCAAGGCCAGTATGGTCTACAGAGTGAGTTCCAGCATAGCCAGGGCTACACAGAGAAATCCTGTCTTGAGAAACACAAAAGCAAAACAAACCAACCAAAAACAAACAAACAAACAAACAAAAAAGACCCCCTTAAAAAAAAAACCACATAAGTTTGAAAAATTGGAGGAACACTAAATGGCCTCAGCAAGTTTTGTGTGTGTATATAACATACATGTGTAATAATAATTTGACAGAGCTGTGAGATGCAGGAATAGTTGGAAGGGAAGAGGTGAAGATGAAAAGACAGTACTCCTGCACAAAATTCTCAAAAAGAGAAGTTTTTCAAGTTCAAAAGTATAAAGGGTTAATTCAGCTTTAAAAAAGAAAAAGAGCTGTGCAATGCACCGTGCTTCTTCCCTGTGCACTGTGCACATGCTCTGGTGTGCCACAGCTACAGGAGAGTTCTCCAGCAACAGTGGCTTGCCCTTGTATTATGTACCAAGGTGTATTCTATAAAAGCACACTTTCAGTGAAGGAAGAACATTATCACTTGAGTAATATAAAAGGTACAGGCTCTTTCTGCCATTTCCATGGCCACAACTGATATCACTACGCCCACTCATAGAGACCTCTGCTGACTTTTCTTGCAAAGAGGGAAAAGTGTTGAGTTATTTAGTTAACTATGTACTTTTTCACTTGTTTTACTGAGACATATTCAAAGCTGGCCTGTAACTCACTACCTCCCATATCTAACTCGGTATCATCCTCCTGTCTCAGTCTTCCCAGTTCTGGGACTGTGGATGGCAAGCTATCAGTGTACCATTTTCCCTAGAGCCTGAGTGAGCTGTGAAAGGCTGTTTGATTATTGCTCTACCAAAGTCTAACTCCTGCTTCAGTTGGTTAAAGACGGCCTTTTTCTTTAAGAAACTTATGGTCCAGGTAGTGGTGGCACATACCTTTTATCTCAGCACTTGGGAGGCAGAGGCAGGTGAATATCTGAGTTTGAGGCCAGTCTGAAGTACAGAGTTCCAGGACAGCTGGCAACCAAAACCTGGTCCTCTGGAAGAGCAAGTGCTTTTAACTGCAGAGCCATTGCTCCAGCCCCCATGGGTTCAGTCTACTGGGAACACTTTATAGTTATTTTTGTTTGTCCTATATACTGGATAGCCTAGAAGTCTCTCTTCCTTTTGGTTTATGTTTTTAGACAGAGTCTCTCTACAAAGCCCTGGCTGTCCTGGAACTATGTAGACCAGGCTGACCTCAAATTCAGAGACTCCCAGCACAACACAGCATAGTAAGAGAAGTCTCTGTTCTAACAGCCTCTGTAAACACCAAACTGAATCCAGAATGAAAAGGTGCGTTACTTTCTACCATAGAGTTACTTCTGAAATTCTGTACCTGTGGTCTTTCTGGCACAGGTAAGCCTACAGCTAGCTTCTAATGAAGGATATCACCACGAAAGAAAGTCAGGTGCAATGGAGTAATGCCTTAATACTTCACATGATGGTTTTACTGTAACTTCTAACCAAATTGTCTGTCAACTAAAGAAAACAAGTGTTCTACATGTGGATCTGCACAGAGGTTTTAGTCTTTTCAATAAGCAAAGATCACTCATACCTACAGACCCTAACCATTTCCTTCCTAAGAATTCTCTGAAAACTAATTGGTAAGGAAGCAATTAAAACTAAAAACACTGCTTTCCAATCCGTTCCCTTCACCTGATGCTCTAGACTCTCTGGGCCTATCTGAGTAATTTCATACTAACCAGTACACTGACACTAGGCAGAAAGCAAGGAACTGTTCTGGTGCCCTCAGAGAGCTCTCATTCACTGGTATTATCTTTTCCTTTTTTCTGACTACCTCTAAAGCACACTGCAGCAGCCTTGCTCAAACCAGTTCCTGACCAGCTCCCACAGCACCGGCACTGTCTGAAGACTGGTGCTGCAAATCATGGCCCGGCAGATTCATGACTTTCTTTTAAAGATTTATTTATTTATTTATTATGTATACAACATTCTGCCTGCATATATGCCCGCACATCAGAAGAGGGTGCCAGATCCCATTACAGATGGTTGTGAGCTGCCATATGGTTGCTGGAAATTGAACTCAGGACCTCTGGAAGAACAGCCAGTGCTCTTAACCACTGAGCCATCTCTCCAGCCCCAGATTCATGACTTTCAATCTAGACCACTCAGAAATATCCCCCAAATTTAACAATCTCCCATGAAAATCCCAGCAAAATTCTTCAAATACCTTGAAAGACGGGCACTCAACTTCATTTGGAAAAGCAAATCCAAAACAATCCTGTACAATAAAAGAACTTCTGGAGGCATCACAATCCCTGACTTCAAACTCTACTACAGAGCTTCAGTACTGAAAACAGCCTGGTACTGGCATAAGAACAGACAGGAGGACCAATGGAACTGAACAGAAGACCCGGATATCAATCCACACATTCACAATTGAACACCCGATATTTGATAAAGAAGCAAAAAATAACAAATGGGGGAAAAAAGCATATTTAACAAGTGGTGCTGGCATAACTGGATATCCACACATAGAAAAATGGAAATAGACCCATATCTATCACCATGCACAAAACTCAAGTTCAAATGGATCAAAGACCTCAACATAAAGTCAACCACACTGAACCTTATAGAAGAGAAAGTGGGAAGTACACTTGAACACATTGGCACAGGGAACCACTTCCTAAATAGAACCCCAGCAGCACAGACACTCAGAGAAACAATTAATAAATGGGACCTCCTGAAACTGAAAAGCTTCTGTAAAGCAAAGGACATGGTCAACAAGACAAAACGACAGCCCACAGAATGGGAAAAGATCTTCACTAACCCCACATCAGACAGATCTGATCTCCAAAATATACAAAGAACTCAAGAAATTGGACACCAAAAGATCACATAATCCAATAAAAAAATGGAGTACAGATCTAAACAGAGAACTCTCAACAGAGGAATCTAAAATGGCTGAAAGACACTTAAAGAAATGTTCAACATCCTTAGACATCAGAGAAATGCAAATCAAAACAACTCTGAGATTCTATCTTCCACCTTAAGAATGGCCAAGATCAAAAACACTGATGACAACTTATGCTGGAGGGATTGTAGAGAAAAGGGAACACTTCTGCATTGCTGGTGGGAATGCAAGCTGGTACAACCCCTTTGAATGTCAGTGTGGCAATTTCTCAGAAAATTAGGAAACAACCTTCCTCAAGAACCAATAATGCCACTTTTAGGTATATATCCAAAGGATGCTCAATCGTCCACAAGTACATGGTCTCAACTATGTTCATAGCAACTTTGTTTGTCATAGCCAAAACCTGGAAACAACCTAAATGCCCCTTGATCGAAGAATGGATAAGAAAAATGTGGCACATATACACAATGGAGTACTATGCAGCAGAAAAAAATAACGACATCTTGAATTTTGCAGGAAAATGGATGGAGCTAGAAAATATTATTTTGAGTGAGGTAACCTAGACAAAGAAAGACAATTATCACATGTACTCACTCATAGGTGGTTTTTAACCACAAAGCAAAGAAAGCCAGCCTACAAACCACAATCCCAGAGAATTTAGACAACAATGAGGACCCTAAGAGAGACTTACATAGATATAATCTACATGGGAAGTAGAAAAAGACAAGATCTCCTGAGTAAATTGGGAGCATGGGGAGCTTGGGGGAGGATTGAAGGGAGGTTGTGAGAGGCAGGGAGGGGAGCAGAGAAAAATGTAGATAGAGCTCAATAAATATCAATTAAAAAATAAAAACTTTACAATCAAAGCTATAGAATAACGATTTCCATCAAAATCCCTAACACAAGAAAACAGAGTGTTAGGCAGTTCCTATTTCTTCTATATAAGAAGATGAAAAAAGTACAAAATTCCCAGCATACTCAAACCTTCCCTGCTTCTCCTATTTCTCCCTTTCCTTCTCAAGGAGGAATTAAACCTTGTACACTGAGCTATAAGCCCAATCCTGTCTAATGTCCTTGTAAATGAAAAATGAAGATGATGGACAATAAGGTATTCCAGGAAATTCATAGCTATCATTACATTCCTGCAGGGCAGTTAAGCCTGTCCCACTAGGTTACTGTGGTTAACAGTGATGCTTTGGAGGGTACCTGTCGGTGACTTCAGCACTGTTTACAATGAGAACCCACAGCCACCCTGAAGTCTGTTTCTGTTCTCTACTGCCTCAGGAGACTGAAGTTTTCTCCCACATGATTCTACAACCTGAATCCTACCTATCAATTAAGATTTGTGACAGCTGCTACACACGCCTTTTCTGAATCTTCAATAGGACTGATGTTTAAGGCTTTATTCTATCAAATATATAAATCCCCACAGCCCAAGGGGCAAAGAATCAAGTCCACAAAGGCGGTCTGCCTTGTCAGAGAGAAGCCTGCCATATTCTTTCTCAAGCGACCTCACTCTTCAGGTAGCTGCTGGATGAAGATGGGAGGCAGCCACTGGGGAAACTGTGAATCAAACACGGTTCAGGACTTAGGTCTGTTCCAGGTAAAGGAAAGGTCTCTCCTTCCCTTGGATTTGAGTTTCCTCTCCACCAGAGTGATGAAATCTGGGTATGATCCTGAAAGCAGGCTGCTGGAAAGGCTCAATGACTAATTTTAAGAAATGGATGCCTTAGTGGGCTTGTCAGTAGCTCAAGTAAAAGGACCTACCCCAAATGTGCCTGCCAACTTCCCTCAGAGCATTCTCTGCAGGACATTCTGGGGCTCTGTAAGGTTGGTGATGGTGATGAGGGAGGAGGCCTATGGGCTCAATCACACCATCAATACCTTACTTGCACCCCTATTACTACTATGATTCTTGCCTTTATGCTAGCAAAAGATTTCTCTTCTCCCTCACCCTCATCAATAGCTTTCTGCAGACGCCACCCCTCTGATAAAAAGCGACAAGGCAAGGAGTCTGTATGTCCTCCTTACTGTTTATATACCCGGCACAGAGTCTCACTCGGAACTGAGCGGAACTCTGCAATGTATCAAATGATCACAATGCAACTAGAAAACAGCGCCCCCATCCCTCCTTCAATACCTTTAATAAATAAAGAGAACTCTGGTCCTGGGGAGATTTGAGAAAGTTTCTGGCATCTTCCGAACTTTTGCGTAATTGATAAATCCTCTGAGAAACAGGAGAAAGCCTAAATAAAAAATTAAAAAAAAGTTAAGAATGAACTTCTAATTCCTACATTAAGTTCGTCCCCCAGAACCACCCCCTTGTAACAAGAACAAGTCATTTTCCTGCTGAAGCCTATTAATACAGGCTTCTCCAGGGGTTTTCCTATCACAGTGTCCACTTTTCAATGGGAAGACATAATCTCAAGTAAACACCTCTTTTGCCTAGATTCTAATTGGTCTCAAAAGGTTCTGGAATCTAAAATGTAACCAAACATTTGCATGTGGAAGCCTCACTGGGAAGCCTACAGAATCTCCCTGCTGAGTCCCCAAACAGCATCCACACAATTAACATCAAAAGGAGTGATTACAAACGGGTTTTGTTGTTTTGTTTTCTGACTATGGTCTCAGTACAGAGGCTGGTCTTGAACTCCTAATTTTCCAGCCTCCATCTCTGGAGTATTCTGGGATTACAGGCACATACAACTTTACTTTTCTTCAGCTTAATTCTAATCTTTTGTTATTTCTTTTTCTGCCAACACTACACAATACTGTCCACTAGATGTCAGCATCCACTTATGTAAACTCCCGTTTTCTACTCTTACAGGCGGTTTGACAGAACCATGCTTACACATTCGCCCCTGCAATGAAAACACTCCTTGACCTTCTTCAGAGACACTCTAACAAGATTTCAGTATTTTTACTGATACAATTTGCATGTTATAAAGTTCACTGTATACAATACACAAGTTTTAATGTATTTACTGACTGACTAGTACAACCACAATCTCATTTTTTTGTTTTTTCTTGTTTTTTTTTTTTTTAATTTTTATATATTAGTTTTTCACCTGCAGTCTGTTTGAGGATGTCAGATCTTAGAGTTACAAACAGTTGCGAGTTGCCATGTGAGTACTGAGAATTGAACCCAGGTCCTACTGAAGAGCAGTCAGTGCTCTTAACCGCAGAGCCATCTCTCCAGCCCCTTGTTTTGTTTTTCAAGACAGGATTTCTCTGTGTAACAGTCCTTCAGTTCTCCTGTAACCCTGTAGACCAGGCCACCTCCCGAGTGCTTCCAGGCTCACGATCTAATTTCAGCATGTTTGTCATCACCTTCCCAACCCCTGGACCTTAGTTAGTAGTTGTTCAGTCACCTGCTCTCACCTCCTCTCTCCCAGCCCCATGCAATTATTAACCTAATTTGTCTGAAGAATTTTAAAATAAACTCAGCGGTGAAAAGTTCCTCTATTCCTCTTTCTTTGATTAAAAACCAAGATATCTGTGTTGAGACTAATAATACCATTCAGTTTGATTTCAAACCAGAAATATAGCATATGCTCATATGCTTGTTTTCCTGAAATGGGAGCTCCATCATTGGAATAGAGGGACCAAGAGGTACTACTTGGGAATGCAGGTGAATTTTTGCTAAATATTTCAACTACTAAGAAAAGCTTACAACATTTTTAAACGCTGCCAACTAATTAAAAACAACTTTAAAAATAGCTGGAGTAACTTGGAAAGATTAAGATTTTATTGTTATTTTTGCTGTGTTCTATTTTTATAAGAAAAAAGGGGGAGCCGGGCGGTGGTGGCGCCTTTAATCCCAGCACTCAGGAGGTAGAGGCAGGGGGAACAACAAAAGGAAAGGGGAAGGGGAAAGGAAGGAAAAAGGGGGCTTTGGCCAGGCAGTGGTAGTGGTGGTAGATATCTTTAATCTCAGCGCACAAGAGGCAGAGACAAGTGGATCTCTGTGAGTTCAAAGACAGCCTGATCTACATGAGTTTCAGGACAGCCAGGGATACATAAAGAAACCCTGTCTTGAACCAAAATAATAGCAACAATAATAAAAAATGGGGTAAATAAACTACTAGTGTAGGTTAACTACAGACACCAAGTTGAACGTGCTCTGAACAGATTCCTACAGAAGCTCCCAAAGAGAGGATGCAAGCACACTCGTCAAATAGAGGGTACAAACACACAAAGGTACACAAAGTCCTACCACAGCATCTGTTTGTTTTGAGGTTTTTTTTTTTGGTTTGTTTTTTATTTGAAACAGAATCTCTGTGTAGTCTTGGTTATCCTTGAACTCACTCTGTAGATTAGGCTAGCCTTGAATTCAGAGATCCACCTGCCTCTGCCTCCCAAGTACTGGGATTAAAGGCATGTGTCACCAATGCCTCGTCAAAACCCCCTTTTTGCTGTTATTACAGAAATAGAACACAGCAAGAATAATCAATAATACAATATCAATCTCTCTTCCATGAAACACTAATACAGAAATCAATCCTCAAATTACATTGCCAACAACCCATGTGAAAATGTTTACTGTCTCCCCTTTAATTAGAGCTTCTAGGCCACGGAGCTCAATATCCTACCTAGCTTTTCTCTTGGAGTCCACCTTAGAGAACAAGCCAATAAATGATTGCTCCCGAGCTATGCTCATGCCACTCATTTTTACTAAACTTGTGGAACTCCAGGGAGGAGGAAATTCACCCTTTCTCTCTGGAATCATTAGATTCCAGTGAGCAGGAGTAGACAATGCCTCAGTGGAGGAGGCGGGGAGCGACACGATGGACCACTTGCTTTTCCTAAGTAAGATGCAGGGTCAGGAATGCACTCATCTGAAGGCTAAGAAAGGCAGGTCTCAACTCAAGTTCCTGCTGGGCGTAGGTGTTGGGCTAAGCAGACAGATTCACAAGCAACAGTACACCAATAGCTTTAACAGATGATTCAAGGTGTGTAAGGCAGGAACTAGATACAGTGGTGAACACTTGGTAGGCAGAGGAAGGAAGATCAAATCAAGTTCAAGGACATCCTGATCTACACAGTGAGTGTTGGCCAGCGATAGGGTGCACAGCAAGATCTTGTCTCAAAAATAGGAGACAGTCAAATACGAATCTGAATACCAGGCATGATGGTGTGTACATATAACCCAGTACTTGAGGCTTAGGCGGGAAGATCAGTAGTTCAAGGTCATCCTCAGTTACACAGCAAGTTTAAGGCCAACCTGGCCAACACTGGGACTCAAAAACAACAACAAACAAACAAACAAACAAACAAAAAATACGTGACCCCACGAAGAAGGCCAGATGTAGCTGCACATTTTAATTCCAGCACTTGGGAGGCAGAGGCAGGTGGAGCTCTGAATTTAAGGCCAGCCTGGTCTACAGATTGAGTTCCAGGGCAGCTAGGGCCACATGGAGACACCTTGTTTCAAAAAAAATAATAAAAACAAAAAGCAAAACAAAACCCCCAAACAAAACTAACAAACAAAAAAGTCTAAAAAGGAAGGAATGATGTTTGCAATAACCAAGAGTCTTGTTATGAGTGCTGAGCTTTCAGTAGACAGAGTCTACTGCTAATCGATTAGTGCTAATCGTCTAGTGCTAATCGATTTTTTCTTTTTATAAACTTTACGTAAGTAACTGTTTGTTGGGGTGTGTGCAGGTGCTCTCAAAGGCAGACATGGGTGTTGGGAATCAAACTTAGGTACTCTGCAAATGCCAGAAGACCTGTATTTTGAGATCTGTATTTTGTTTACAGCCATCTTAAGCTCACAAGTAAGATATTCACCTTTGCAGGCAAGTTCTGGTCCTAGGACATTAGTCTAGTGAGACCTGCAGGCACCAGGCTTTTAGAAAACCTTAGTATGTTCCTTTGTTAGTCAACAATCACAGCCCCCCCCCCCCAGTATTTACCCATCAGCTAGGGATGTCTCCAGGCCTGAATTCCAGCAGATCTGACACACCTCCCCTCCCCCTTGCCATTGTGCTATATAACAGCTTCTGAGAAATAGTAAACTTGACGGCTTGATCAGAAATACTGTCTTGCCTTCATTTCTCGTGTCTCTTTTGTTCTTCCATTCCTCTTCCTCCTATAGGTTTATCAGGGACCACCGTTTGCATCCCGCTGGCTAGGATATGCAAAAATACTATGAACTTTTAACCACTGAGCCATCTCTCCTTTAAAAGCTACCGGGGGCTACTGCTTTGTAGACATGACAGCAGTAAAGATTGGTTTCTTTACTGAATCACACATATTTTTTTTTATAGATAACAAACCCACATTAAAAAATTCACCCTGGCGCTAATTTCATTGCTTTAATGATTTAGGAGGAAAATAATTTAAAACAAACAAGAAAATAAATCATTATAATCTACAGATTAATAAATAATCAGACTGCCTTCATGTGTGCATGTAACATATGTATGTATGTATGTGTACATATATAATTTTAAAACTTCTTTTTAATATAAATAAACTCTTTTTATCAAGGGTGAACTACAGAATTCTGGAAAGCCCGTAATTTCAGAAGTTATGTGCATTCTTCGGTGGTCTACTGACAGGTCTAACTTAAGATGGCTCACAAATATACAGGAATTAATTCAGTTGTATACAGTACACTAATAATCAACTCAGGGCTGAGTCTGCAAACCCTCTGCGGAAATAACTCAAAAGCAGACAAAAGCCACACTATACTGCATTAGTATGCCCCCTGTATCACACATAAATGGATTAGAAAAGCACTTCACAGACTCTATTTTAACGTGCATGCATTAGGAAACTATCTAATCTTTAATGAAAAAAATCTAAAAATTGTATTTTAAATTGATGGTAAATACAATACAGTGAGATGAGGCTTTATTAAAGTAATCTTAGCTGTCTAAGACATTTTTTAATTAGATAATTGTTTTTCTACCTTAAAAAGTTAAAAGCACTTACCTAAAACCAAGAACACCCACCAGAGCCAGTACTGGCCATCAAAGTATCCAGGGAAATAGGTGGAAAACTGGAAAAAGCAGCAGAAGAAAAAGGCAGAGACTTTATTGCAGCCTAACAGAACAATTTCACTTATTAATTTAGGAGCACACAAAACACAACTGTCACTTAGACCACATATACATACTTTTTAAATTAATTAGTTAGTTCATTCATTCATTTACTGTGCATGTTTTGCCTGTGTTGTTGTATGTGTACTACATGCATCAAGCTTGGTGCCTGAAGAATGTGGAAGAAAGCATCAGATCCTCTAGAACTGGTGTTAGGAATGGTTGTGAGACACCATGGGGTGCTGAGAATCAAACCCAAGTTCCCTGAAAGTGCAACAAGTGCTCTTAACCACTGAACAACCTACTAGCACCGTAATAATTTTTAAAAATATGGTCTATTTACTTCTAATTTGAAATCGTTTACAAGAAATGAAAAATGACTTCTTCTAATGGAAAAAAACTGTAAAGTTCTCTGTTCTCTTCTGGACTCCTTATTTTCCAAGTGTGCACGTGCGCACGCGCACACACACACACACAAATGGATTTTGAGGGTGTTGAGGACTGTTTGGTATATAGCTCAGGCTGGATTTAGTAACGCTTCTTCTCCTTCAGCCTCCCAAGGGCTAGGATAACACACTTGTGCCACCATACTTAACTCTTCATTCTGTTAGAAAACTTTAAAATCTCTGGCATGGTGGTGCATGCCTTATAACCCTGGCAATACTTCACAAAGAACCCATCTAAGAATGTTTCTAGTTTCATTGTATATACTTAGCATTAGATGTGATTATTTGGTTGGCATTACTGTCTCCTTGTCAATGAAGTCCAATTTGTTCCTAACCTTGAATTCTGAACTTTGTAATCATGTACTGCTGAACTTTGTATCCTGTACTTCATGGTAATCCTATATCTGTGCCAGGAATTGGCACAAGGCATTCTTTTGGCATTAGAATTGAAGGTCTCGTAAAAGAGAAAAAGAACACAGATGGTCTCTAACCAAAGTGATTAACTTTATGACAGAACAAGACCAATATGCATTCAGTAAAACCATCTTTTACACTTGAGTCTTTCCCCAGCTTTGTGACAGGCAGGATGAAACAAAGTCCCTCAGGATGCTGGGTGGCAGTAGTCAGCTGCAGGTCTCTATCAGCTTTAAGATCACGGGGTGAACCAGAATGTGCCACTGGCAGGGTAAATGCATTAAATGCATGTGCAGTTCATGCTCTCCTGTGAAGTACTGCTGTGTTTTAGTGTGGTACAGAACCGCCTGTCTTTAACCCAGGGGAGCAACAACTACAGCACAGCTGGAACTCAGCTCTCCCTGCTAGTGCTGACTCGATCTAATCAACACCTCTGGCAGGACGCGTTTTCCTGAGGAATGAAAACTTCCCCTATTTTTTTCTGACTTGCTAAGCCATTCTGACCTTGGTTTTCATTTAGATTCCAAAGATAACTAATAATGTAAACTTAGTCTATTCTCTTGGAGGCCCTGGTGTCCAAAGTCTGAGAATAAGTGTAGTATTCCCTCTTTGTCCATGAGAGATAGTGTTCAAGACCTTCACAAATGCTTTAAATGGCAGACAGCTCCAAAGCTTATGCATACATACAGCCTTTCCATATATGTGGACCTTTGATAAAGTTTGATTATGAATTGAGCACAATAGAAGATTAATGATAAGTGCCATTGAACTAACAATATACTGTGATAAGTTATACAAACAAGGCTCTTTAAAAAAAATCTTGCTGCTATAAAGATCTTAGAAACCTCAGTATGGAATTTTTTTTTTAAAGCAACTTTTTTTTTTTTTTTAATTAAGCATACTGCTGGCAAGGAAGGCACCAGGTCTCATTACATTACAGATGGTTGTGAGCCACCATGTGGTTGCTGGGAATTGAACTCAGGACCTCTGAAAGAGCAGCCAGTGCTCTTACCCTCTGAGCCATCTCTCCAGCCCATGGAATTTTTTTCTTCCATTATTGTGTGAAAGCTTTCACCTTTCATTAAAAGCATGTGGCTTCTCTTTGGCATATCCAAACTGCCAGCATTACTATGACTGCAATTTGGGACTTTTAAAATAAAGATTACCAACCACAAGCACTGTGATACCAATATGGTTCCCAAACAAGGCAAGATTTGAACAGGATTTCAGAATTTATTGTTTTGTATGGCATGTCAATTAAAACTTATGGCTTGGGTCAGGCATAGTAGTGCATGCCTTTGGTCCCAGCATTCAGAAGGTAGAGGCCGGTGGATCTGTGAGTTCTAAAAGCCAGTCTGGTCTACATAGCAAGTACCAGTCCATCCAGGGCTAAACAATGTAACACTGTCTCAAAACAAACAATGAAACAAACAAACCAAACCAAACCCTTATCAACTGTTTCTGAAAAATTCAGATTCTGACCAGAGGTAACTCAGCTAAGACACAGAGACACAGGAGGCTCCAGTGCATACATACTTTCTATTCCATGTTTGTGTGTTTATATGTAAAAAGCATGTGTTTGTGCATGTGTGCATGCATGCCTTGGTGTCCTGGCTTTCCACCTTGTTAAAAGCAGGGTCTCCCCTTGCTACACACAGACGCTGGCTGGCTGCTCCCTTCCAGGGGTTCTTGTCTTTGCCTGTCATCTCCCCACAGGAGCGCTGGTACTACTACTGAATCTGGGTTTTCCTTAAGTTTTAGGAACCCAAAATCAGGACGTTAAGCTTTTGCAGCAAATACTTTCCCACTGAGGCATATTCCCAGCTCCTAATATTTTATTTCTTAATAAAACAACAGTTAAAATTTAAAAAAGAAATGTCAACTTCTCATGGACTAGGGTCTTAAAGTCCATTGGTTTTGACTCTTTGTTTTTCTGAAAGTCCATGTTTTTAGATGAATATAAATGAACTATACAGGGGGAAAACCCACAATTACCTAATTTTCAAAGGATTTTAGATTTCTAAAATAGTCAATGAGTCCTTTGACTTACTCTGAAAAACTGCAATGGCCAAGTAACATCGATTAGCTATGTATGTTGTGTGTGGTGTGGATGCACACGGTACAAATATGCACCAGTATGCATGGACACACACAGAAGCCAGAGACAAGGTCTCACTAAATCAGAAGCTCGCCTTTTTGACTGGAATGGCTGGGCAGTGAGCTCTGTGATCTGCCCATTTCCACTCTCCAATGCTTGGGAGTCATAGACATGTGCAGCTATGCCCACCTTTTTATGTGGGTGGGGACTCAAAACTGGAATCCCTGTGCCTGCAAGCAAGTGTTCATACCCACTGAACAATTTCCCCAGCCACAGTTTACCAGTTTATAATTACCTGGTTTCCTCTGCCAGGTCGACAATAGCAACAAACTCACCTGAAGACAAACTATACTTGTTTTGCTTGTTTGCTGTTTGTAGACGGGATCTCCCTGTATGGTCCTGGCAGGCTTGGAACTCACTATGCAACCAGGTTGGCCTTGAACTCATAGAAATCCATCCATCTCTGATGGGATTAAAGGTGTGTGCCCGTGTGTGGCAGCAAAGTATACTTTATAAAAAAAAAAAAAAAGTATTGAACCCATTGGTGAATCTTCTTTTGTTGTTGCTGCTGTTTTTTTTTTTTTGTTTTTTTTTTTTTTTTTTTTTTTTCTCGAGACAGGGTTTCTTTGTAGTTTGAGCATGTCCTAGAAACTAGCTCTTGTAGACCAGGCTAGTCTCGAACTCACAGAGATCCGCCTGCCTCTGCCTTTCAAGTGCTGGGAATAAAGGTGTGTATGACCACACCCAGCCCCACTGGTGAATCTTGTTCAGCATCTAGGTTTTTGAAGTATACTTTGTACCCGATCCTGACATGTACAGCTCCATCAAGATCACCAGGTACATCATCAAGGAGTATTCAGAGAACACTGGAGAAAGCCAAGAGACTTAGCAGAAGCACATCCGGGATTACTGAAGAATTTCTAGAACCCAAGGTCAAGCATCTTGTGTACCTTGGCTCCCTTTTTGAAACCATTTTGTACAGTTGTGTGGCTTTGAACAAATTAAAGTTACTTTTTAAAAGCGCCTATACGTCCTAGAACTTAAACTATTTTACGCAATATCAACTGGGAACTCCCATATCACCGAAGACATTGCTATACTTTTATCAAAAGAAAATTCCCTAATGGAGCAGTAGAGGTTTCTACGTAACCAGTCCTAGAAGGAAAAACTAGGGAAGGATAGACAATGTCATGAAATTAAAATTTCACAAGAATTAACATGAAGAATGCCCGCCCCTCTATCACAGAAACTCCAAGTGTCCACATGCATTAGCGCTACATACATTTCAAAACAACCTATAAAACAGATCATCTCCTAGATCTGAACATGAAACAAGGAGATAGGAATTACATGCAACTGATTTTAGCTCACTTTACCATGGAATCAGAATAAAGACAAACCAGATTATCCCTTTAAATATCAAGATAATAGAAAATTAAAAATCAAATATTCAAAGTCATTCTAATTACTGCCTCTTGACACAATCTATGTTCTCTGCTATGCAACTTACCCTGACAATAAGGATCCATTTAATTAGAGAAAGACCAAATCCTGAGATGGCCCCATACCTTCCCGCAGCTGAGGTGGTCAGGCAAAAAGACAAGAAGAACCCAATCCAGTTGAAGAGGAATGCCACTGTAAGAGTGGAGGGAAAAGATGTTAACCAAGGGACAGGAGTGTTCTCTGCAGCAGCCCCTACTTATGTGGCGTTCCCTAGGATATAAAAGATAGCCTGCACTTGACAAACCATCTCCACCTCCCCTTGATCTCCCTCAAAAGCAAGGAAAGACTTTGTCAATCTCATGCTGCATGCTCTGTGCCTACCAACCCGCTCCTGTCTTTGCTGCCATATAGGCTAGTGAGTAAACGAAACACTTCGGAGAGCAACCTGGCACCTCACATAAGTGAGTCAGGTTACTCATCCTCTTGCTGTGTCTTCTGACAGCTCAGAGCATCACTATTTTTGCACTACATTTTTTATTTTTCAGAGTAAATAAAATAGGTGCTCACATGTAAGTGAGGTGCATAAAAAAGTATAAAACAGCATTAAGAAGGGGAAAGTCTGCTGGAGAGATGGCTCAGAGGTTAAGAGCACTGGCTGTTCTTCCAGAGGTCCTGAGTTCAACTCCCAGCAGCCACTTGGTGGCTCACAACCATTTGAAATGAGATCTGGGGCCCTATTTTGGAATGCAGGCAGAACAGTGCATAAATAATAGCTGGGTAGTAGTGGCGCACGCCTTTAATTCTAGTCCTCAGAGGCAGGTGGAACTCTGTAAGTTCGAGTCCAGCCTGTTTTAGGACTGGCTCCATAGCTACTGAGAAACCCTGTCTTAACAAACAAGGAAAGGAAAAGAAAGGAAAGGGAAGGGGGAAGGGGGAAGGGGGAAGGGGGAAGGGAGAAGGGAAAGGAAAAAGGGAAGGGAAAAGGAAAGGGAAAAGGAAAGGAAAGGAAGAGAAAAGAGGCAGAGTCAGATTGACTTTGATCTATCAGAAAATTAGAAGTTTACAGAACAAAATCTATCAATGCTTCTATCAATGCTGTTGCATTCCTACTCTGCCATCTGGGTATGAGCAGCAGCAATAACAATGGGCCCTGTAGGCCTGAAAGATGAGATTTGGCATGTGTTAACACTGTGGTATCCATAATTGCTTTAAACATATTGTCCATTCAGAGTACTTGGGTTTATAGGAAGTGACTGCTGCATGTATACTTACTGAAAAAAGTTAACATAAAAATCCCATCATTTCCTATCCTCAGCTGGTCAGCATCGTCAAAATCATCCCGACCCACAAAATCTTCATCCTAAATGAAGGAAAAAGAGTAAGACAGAGTTACGATGAATTATTTCTAGACAAAAGGTGAGGTGCATAACCAAAAACCTTCCTTTTAGTGAAAGGTCTACTGTAATTGGTGCAAACATACCCCTTCACTGACTATTTAAGTAGGTTGCTTAAGACTGCTTGGTAAGTTGGCTAAGAGACAAACTTTCCTTGTTGCTTCCTCAGTGCTGCTAGACCCAATAAAGGATTGCCTAGGTCTTTCTTTTTTTGCTTTTGTTTTTCAAGACAGGGCTATCCCGAAACTCACTTTGTATATCAGGCTAGCCTCAAACTCAAAGATATGCCTGTTTCTGCCTCCTAAGAAGCAGATGGATCTCTGTGAGTTCAAAGCCACCTTGGGCTACAGAAGACTGAACCTGTCTAAAAGAGAAACAGAGCCCATACATAAGTAATCCCAGCACTTGGGATCACAGGCCTTTAATCCCTGCACTACAGAGCTATGGCTGGGTGGGAAAGAGATAGGAACTCAGTGGAGGTTGATGGAGAACACTACAGGATTACCCTTTTGGTCTGAAGATTTGGTAATCTCTCTAGTGGTTGGCAGTTTTGCTTTTCTGATCTTCAGGTTGAACCCCAATATCTGCCTCTGGGTTTTTATTATTCATGCTACACTGCCTGGTGCATCATTTTCAGAAGATGCTTATTATTCCAAAAGAAAATGTATATGCTTAAAATTAGCTGTAACCAAGACAATTCTAGTAATTCAATAATGGATAATGAAAATAACTCCAAATAAGCAGCCCCAAAACAACATAGATCAAACAAACAAACTGCTTACTCTTCCAGGAACCAAAGGGATTGTAGCTTCAGTCTTGGTTCTTTCAGCCTCATCATAACTGGGCAGTGTTGTAGCCACGTTATAAGAAGGGGGCTTTGGAAACCCAGATTCATCTTTGTAGTCAAAATACGCTGCAGAAAAAAAAAGTAATAAAATCCATCTGAAGCAAAAGACATTTATTTATTAATAAATGTGACACTTGTAACAATTTTTAAGCATGTATTTAAAAACAAGATTGTCCATACCTTTATTCCTAGCACTCAGGAGGCAAAAGTGGGTGGATCTCTGTGAGTTCAAGGCCAGCCATTAGCAAGTTCCAATTCAGCCAAGGCTACACTGTGAGACCTTGCCTCAAAGTACATACATACATACAAACACACATACATAAAAATAAATAAATTAAAAACTCACTTGCTATACTTATTTCCAACTCTGAATCTAACAGGCGTTTATTCTGTGGTACTGGGGATCAAATCCAGGGGCTTGTAGCCAAGTACTCTACCATTGAGCTGCCATCTCCAACCCTCTTTTTATCTTTTTTTTTTTAATTAATTTATTTATTTATTAAAGATTTCTGTCTCTTCCCCACCGCTGCCTCCCCTTTCCCTCCCCCTCCCCCAATCAAGTCCCCCTCCCTCGTCAGCCCAAAAAGCAATCAGGGTTCTCTGCCCTGTGGGAAGTCCAAGGACCACCCACCTCCATCCAGGTCTAGTAAGGTGAGCATCCACGAAACTGCCTAGGCTCCCACGAAACCAATAGGTCCAGTAGAATCAAAAACCCGTTGCCATTGTTCTTGAGGTCTCAGTAGTCCTCCTTGTCCGCTATGTTCAGCGAGACCAGTTTTGACCCAGGCTTTTTCAGACCCAGGCCAGCTGGCCTTGGTGAGTTCCTGATAGAACATCCCCATTGTCTCAGTGTATGGGTGCACCCCTCGCGGTCCTGAGTTCCTTGCTTGTGCTCTCTCTCCTTCTGCTCCTGATTTGGACCTTGAGATTTCAGTCCGGTGCTCCAATGTGGGTCTCTGTCTCTGTCTCCTTTCATCGCCTGATGAAGTTTAATATTCAGGAGGATGCCTATATGATTTTCTTTGGGTTCTCCTTCTTATTTAGCTTCTCTAAGAACCCGAATTATAGGTTCAATGTCCTTTATTTATGGCTAGAAACCAAATATGAGTGAGAACATCCCATGTTCCTCTTTTTGGGTCTGGCTTACCTCACTCAGGATGGTGTTTTCTATTTCCATCCATTTGCCTGCAAACTTCAAGAAGTCCTTGTTTTTTACTGCTGAGTAGTACTCTAATATGTATATATTCCATACTTTCTTCATCCATTCTTCAATTGAAGGGCATCTAGGTTGTTTCCAGGTTCCCCTCTTTTTATCTTTTATTTTGCTAGGCTACCCTTGAACATACAATCTGTCTGTCCCAGACTCTTAAGTGATCACTAGAACTGGTGATTTAAATAGTCATGGAAAACACTTAGGCTAACACTTTACACAAGCCAGGTATGGTGTGTGTGCCTGTGATCTCAGGTTCTTGGGCGATGGATGTTACAGGGTCACAGCTTGAGTTTTGCCTAGGAAACACAGCCAGATCTCCTGTCAATGGTTAAAAAGTCTTCACACGTGCACTAAGATCTACACTGTAGTTTCCTCTCGTTAAAAAAAAAAAAATGAAAATCAAACTTGAAAAAAAGGAAAGGGCTTAATATTCATGTGTTCCTGTTTTTACTAGGTAACTAACTGGGTTATAAAATAATTCTATGAACTCTTTCATCTCCTCTTTTGAACACTGTACTTCATGCTCACTGACTTCTGTCACAAAATATGCAGCACAACAGAAAAGATGTATTTACAAGATTAAACTTGTTGTTCTTGTTTTGTTTTTGTTTTCTGAGGCAGGGTTTCCTAGCTGTCCTGGAACTAGCTCTTGTAGACCAGGCTGGCCTCAAACTCACAGAGATCCACCTGCCTCTGCTTCCCAAGTGCTGGGGATTAAAGGCGTGAGCCACCACCACCTGGCTTCTAAATATTTTTCAAGTTTCAAAAGAAAAAAAAAAATCTGTCTTTCTTTTACTCTCTAGTTATAAATTAGCTTCTCCGTAAATCTGTTGTTGTGTAGCCTCAGCTGGCCTGGAACTGCCACTGCCCTGCCTTGACCTCCAGGGTACTGATATTAGAAGTGTGAACTAATACACCAGCTAACTTCAACATTCTTATTGTAATAATTATTGAAATTGTCAATCATCAATGCCCCTCATTAACAAAAAAGAAGTAACACTCTCCTCTTCCTTCTCCTCCTCTTCTGTAATAGGATCTAGCAATATAAAACTCAACCTGGGGGACTGGAGAGATGGCTCAGTGGTTAAGAGCACTGACTGACCCTTCCGGAGGCCCTGAGTTTGATTCCCAATGATGACATGGCAGCTCACAACCATCTATAATGGGATCTAGTGCCCTCTTCCATCATGCAGGCATACAAGCACGTGGAGCACTTCTACACAGAAAACACATGAACAGATCTTTAAGAGACTATGTACTCAGTATGTATTCAAACTGTCTCCAGTCTCAACCTTCCAAGGTATGAGCCATCATGCCCAGTATTCAGGTTTTGGGTGTGGTGGTACATGCCTATAACCCCAACTTTCCAAGTAGAGGCAGGAAAACCAGGAGTTCAAGGTCAGTCTCCTTATACATAGTATTTGAGGACAACCTGATCTATGGGGATCTTTTCTCAAAACAAAAGAAGAAAATTTAAATATCCATTTTGGAAAAAAGTCACTGAGAAGTTAGAGCTAATGGCGAAGCAGTGTTTTATTTAATACAGTTTCTGTGTGGTTATTTTGGGTGTATGCTAGCCAGGAGGCCAAGACAAACAAGGGACCTGCTCCCTTGCAACAACTGGAGGGGTCTGTGCTAGCCCTGGCCTCAGTACCCACCTGCATTCTCTGCAGAAATGCTGCTGTACGGTGGAGGAGCATCACCTGCAGTCTGCTCGGGTTCCCCTGGCTCCTCTTCATTCTGCAGCTGAATAAAAACATCAGATATTAACACTCACACACACACAAAAACAAATTCAAAAGATACAAACCTAAAAAATAGAGTAGCCTATCTGGAAGGCTACCTGGCATTGTGTTTGTTTCCAAAGCCTTTTTAAAGTATCCTAATGCCAGGAAGTTATTTTAAGGAAATGAGACAAAAAGAAAAAGCTATATAAGAATCATACTCCAAGTACACATTCCTGTAGTCTCAGTCATAGACAAGCCTGGGCTACGTAAAATATGAGGCCTATCTAAAAAGAAAACAGAAAAAGCCAAATGTAGCTCAAGCTTGCCTCAAATTTGTCAAGGAGCTGACAAAGGCCCTGTACTCCTGACCTTCCCACTCCTTCCCACGTGTTGAGATTTCAGGTGTGAACCACCATGCCCAGCTATCAAAAAATAGATTAAGGGGGTCTGGAGAGATGGCTCAGCGGTTAAGAGCATCGCCTGCTCTTCCAAAGGTCCTGAGTTCAATTCCCAGCAACCACATGGTGGCTCACAACCATCTGTAATGAGGTATAGTGTCCTCTTCTGGCCTGCAGGCATATATGCAGACAGAATATTGTATACATAATAAATAAATAAAAAAAAATAGATTAAGAAAAAAATCAAAACTTCAAAGAAAATTCGACAACTTAGAAACTTATAGAACCATTACATGAAGAAAAGTCTGATTTTTATCAAACAATATGCATTGTGCAATTTGTTTGTAAAAGGATAATCATATAATGGAAAGAAGATCTAGAATGAGATATCTATAATTCAGAACTATCTTTAGGTAATGAAAGTATAAAGGGTTTCTCCTTGTTTACATTTAGACTCTAATTTCATTGCTTGTATAATTTCCTTAAAGTTAGAAAAGCAATCTGGTAGGACAAATATTGAAAATACACAAACCAAGTCCTTCTACCTTATTTGGTAAGTGAGACAGTTATGAAAAACATAAATGTCTAACCTCTGTCAGCACTTTCTCTCAACTATCTGATGTAGTGTTTTAGTGCTGGGAATCAAACCCTGGGTTTTAAGAATTCCAGGCAAGTTATTTACAGCAGAGCTAACTCCAGAACTCCCCAGCTCCTCCAGTTATTTCAATAGTCCACACTGAATGTGTAATGTCTACCTACTGTTGCTGCCAAGTGCCCACCCTAGTCACTGTCATGATTTCTCAATAGATTTCTCAATAGATTATACTTTTTAATGAGCCAGTCTACACTGGCATTAAACTATAAAGGGAGGAGCGGGCGATGGTGGCGCACACCTTTAATCCCAGCACTCGGGAGGCGGAGGCAGGTGGATCTCTGTGAGTTCGAGACCAGCCTGGTCTACAGAGCTAGTTCCAGGATAGGCTCCAAAGCCACAGAGAAACCCTGTCTCGAAAAAACCAAATAAATAAATAAATAAAATAAAACTATAAAGGGAGTCTGCTGATAAGGGTCTGATCCTGTTTTCAGTATTACCACACAGGAAGTTAACTGAGGTGCTTGTAAGACACACCAGCTCCTACGCACACTTTACAAAGAAGCCCATGGTAAGCTGAGACAGAAGAGAGCCTAGGATTTGATAAGAAGCGGAGTCTGCATCAATCTCCAATCCTGCACTATCCACGAATTACTACAATAAAGATTTATCTATAAATTTAATTTGGCGTGGGTTCTTGGGCCATATTCTTAGCAGCATCTACCATCCAGGACTTTCTATAACCAGTGCAGGGTATGAAACCTAGTACAAACATTTTACCACTGACTTTCATCTCCAGGCCTTGATTTTTTTTTTTTAAACAGGGTTTTCCTGTGTACCTTTGGGCTGGCCTGGAACCCTAATCCCCTTGTCTCAAATACTAGATTATAGGCATGTGCCACCATTTCTAACTTGGGCACATTTTTTAGCTCTAACAATCTAATCTTAAACTTAAGTCATTCCCAAAATAACTGTACTGTAAACTAAGGTAATTTTTTCCTTGGAAAAGCAAACATACAGGCAAAATAGTTATAGGAAAGCAAATATTCCAGGGACATCATATAGTGACTTATTTGGAAGAGCTCCTGGGAACATGATTCTCCTCAATCCAAGATCTTAACAGTATGTGAACGTTAGAAGGATATTCTTAGCCTCCTCACAACTAACCATCACTATATGAGAGAAGACAGCACCAAGGGAGAACGACAGCAACAAGAAAGGGGAAAAAGATTATTTGAGAATGCAGTCTCTATCTGTAGCCATCTGGTACCATCTGTACTTCTAACCTGCTTTATAATTCTGGAGTCTGGTCAAAGCAAGCATGTTTCTTCTACACAATTTGGTTTCAGAAAGGAAGCCTGGCAGTTCTTAGAAACATAGACATTCAAAAAAATCAGGAGGTAAAATAGTCTACCATGCCAGTAGCTGTAAGATAGGTTGCCTGTCTCCTAGCAACCTAGAACTGTGAAATGTGATCACTCCCCAGCACCGTAACAGATAACAGCAAAGAAATTCCAGCCTTCTCAGAAACGCTATCTCTTTGGTGAGAAAAAACCAAACATTACCAGGTCAAGATTTTTTTTTTCCCTCCCTTAAAATTCAGTATTTTAGAACCATACATTTCCAACTAAAAAGAATAAAAAAGAAACCCCGCGGGAAAAAAATTATGACTATGGAGGTGCCACATGTTGGAATGACCCCCCACTCAACTGTTCTCATTGCCTCCTCCCACCACAGAAACCTAATTACTCCCACACTGCTGGTGGTAAGGTTAGGCTCAGAAAAGCTGCTCTAAAACAAAACACTATGAGAAGAACAAAGGGAATCACATTCCAAAGGCCACATATGCTTAGTAATGACTGCTGAATGACAGAGCTGTAAGCACCCACATTCTTACACTGTGGGGCCTCAAGGCCACTGCTCAGCAATGAAGGAAAGAAATGCATGTACCACAACTGGACTGTAGCCTTTAGGAAACAGTTTACTTGCTTCCATGATGAGTTTTGCCCATTTTCTTGCTCTGTCCCCAAGAACCTTTCTGGTGCAGCCTACCCAGCCACATTGATCCCCTCCTGGTGCTCAGAGAGCACAAGCAGGTTACTTCTGGGTCAGCACTGGAAAGACCCCCACTCTTCCATCAGTTGGGCCAAGTGAGCCCAGGTCCAGCTTAACTACACAGTACAGGCCAGGCTGTAGCCGGTCCTTGAGGCAGGTCTAAGAGAGGGAACTTAACTCAGAGCACACACAGGAACAGTCTCTGACATTGACTCTGGAGACTAATAAATACTACTGGAGCTAGAGTTTTCACCCCATTACATCACTTTTGTTACATTTTGAACCAGTTTTATCTTTATTGTTATCAACAATAATGACATTTAAAAAAATTATGGCACTATTTTACAAATTGAACTATAAAATTACTCATAAATGACAGAAAAGGCCAGGTGTAGGGGCTCACTTGTAATCTCAATACTTGGGAGACTGAAGCTGGAACATTAAGGAAGTAAATTCTTGGCCAGCCTGAGTTGCTACATAGTAAGCAACTTTGCCTGCCCACCAAAGGAGCCATACAAAGTGTTGAGCTTAATACAGAACTACCTATGTCTCTACCAAGATGAAAATAATCCAATAATCTGAAATTTCAAGTAGCATTTTGCTTTGTCACACACTTACACTGTGTCCTGATTTTCTTTTCCATATCCCCACTTGGTGCATGATCCCAATCTGCCGTAATACTCCTTGGTCTTATTAACCTTTGATTTTGAAAATACGTATCTTGGGGGCTGGAGAAATGGCTTGAAGGTTAAGAGCACTAACTGCTCTTCCAGAGGGCCCAGGTTCAACCCCCAGCAATCACATGGTGGCTCACAACCATCTGTTAATTATGCATGTGGTACACTAACATATATGCTGGCTAAACACACACACATAAAATTTTTTTAAATGTTTGTTTGTTTATTTGTTTATTATGTAGACAATATTCTTTCTGCGTGTATGCCTGAAGGCCAGAAGAGGGCACCAGACCTCATTACAGATGGTTGTGAGCCACCATGTGATTGCTGGGAATTGAACTCAGGACCTTTGGAAGAGCAGGCAATGCTCTTAACCTCTGGGCCATCTCTCCAGCCCCACACATAAAATTTTTAAAAAGTTTTAAAAATATGTCTATTAGGACTAGCGAGCCAGCTCAGCAGTTAAGAATGCTTACTCTTCTTCAGAGGACCAGAGTTTGGTTCCAGTACTCATGGTCAAATGGCTCACAACTACCCTTAACTCCAGCTTCAAGAGTTACCATCTCCTCTTCTGGCCTCCTTGGGTACCTGTACACACCTGCCAGATATACATACAGACACATAAATAAAAATGATCAAAAGCTTATAAAAATAAATCTGGGGGGTGTGTTGAGACAAGGTTTCTCTGTGTAATAGCCCAGTGTTCCTGAACTAGCTCTGTAGACCAGGTTGGCCTCAAACTCACAGAGATCCACTTGCATCTGTCTCCCGAGTGCTAGGATTAAAGGTGTGTGTGTACCACCACCACCACCCATCTATAAAAAATAAACCTTAAACCAGGTGGTGGTGGCAAACACCTTTAATTCCAAACCACAAGAAGTAGGGGGATGAAACTCTTGAGTCTGAGACCAATCTAGTCTACAGTGCAAGTTCTAGGAGCCGGGGCTACAAAGAGAAATCCTGACTCAAGAAACCGAAAATAAACAAATACTTTGCCTATTAGAAATAAATAAAGCATTAAAGAGCAGGTGCAATGACACTCACTGGTAGTCCCAACTTCTGGGGAAACTGAGGCAAAATAACCACTTAAGTCTAGTTGACTGAGGCCAATCTGGGGAGCATAAAATTATATTAGTATCTTTTAAAAAAATCTGCTAGGTATGGATGGCAGCACAAGCCTATAAATCCCAAAACTTGGGAGATTGAGAGATGGGAGAATCAGGAATCCAAGTTCATCTTTGGCTGCATAATTAGTAGAAGCCAGAAATGCTCACTACAGAAATTATACATAGTTTTT